TTGCTTTCACGGGAGCGTCTCTCCCCCTGCAACGTGCGCCATCTCCCATTCACGCACTGCCCGGTGATCTGTCTTTCAAAGCCAGGTCTCTCACCCAAGTAGCGGACAACTGGTCAGCAAACCTGGCCTTCCAACTGTGGTTTTTTTGTCCAGAGTGAGTTCACCTACGATGCTAAGGCAAGCCAACGACATTACGGATTTGGGGGGGGGGGGGGGAATGTGGTTGCCCCCCCCCCTAACTAGGAGATCCATGGACTAGCCTTAAAGAAGAAATAAAGAAACAGAAAAATAAGGTGGAGAGCAGGTTTTGGAAGAACCAGATTCTACCCATACTGGATGGTCGTGGAGAGCAGTGCCCAATGTGTGTGTGTGTGTGTGTGTGTGTGTGTGTGTGTGTGTGTCTGCAGCATTCATAAGTGGCCAAAGGAGCAGGGCCAATCCCATCCCCCCCCCCCCCAAATCCGTAATGTCGTTGGCTTGCCTTAGCATCGTACGTGAACTCACTCTGGACAAAAAAACCACAGTTGGAAGGCCAGGTTTGCTGACCAGTTGTCCGCTACTTGGGTGAGAGACCTGGCTTTGAAAGACAGATCACCTGGCAGTGCGTGAATGGGAGATGGCGCACGTTGCAGGGGGAGAGACGCTCCCGTGAAAGCAATCCTGCAACCCTCTCGGCTGCGAGGAGGGCTATTTTCGCACGTGGGTTTAGCGCGCTTCTAAAGGAGCGCCAGACCCACATTTACAGCATCCTCACACATGCGCCTCGGGGGTGCAGGATAATTCCCCCCATGACAGGCGCATGGAGGAGAGGCTGTGCAATGCAACAGGATGCTCCTGCAGGACTGCACGGCATGGGGTTCCACGATGCAGCAGGCACATCTGGCAGGCACATCTGGCTAGAGAATTCTGGGAGTTGAAGTCCACACGTCTTCAAGCGGCCAAGGTTGAGAAACACTGCTCTAAGGTATGAGCCAACCTGCTCCAAGCTTCGAGTCATTTGCATATCTAATTAGCATCCCTCCCATTCCATCTTCCAAGTCATGCATAAAGATGTGAACTAGTGAAGAAGGAGCACCACCGAAACTCCGCCCCCTCCCGGACTTAAAGAGACATACACACCAGTGCAAAGGAGGGCCATGATGCACGACCTCTTGGCCTGGTCAGCATCCCCCGCGCCCAAGGCGTTACCCACTCGGACACTGGAGGCCACGCTCATGCCCTGTGGCAGCTGAGAAAAACATCTGGGTTATTATTATTTTAACATCTGGCAAGCGGAAAGTCGTGATGCAGAGAAGGCGCTAGTAACACGGTATTGAGGGAGATTTGCTTCCTAGCAAACACGCAGGGGACTGGCGAGGCATGGAAAACGACTAATCAAATAGGATAATGAGCGGCTAATAAAAGCCTCGTCTTTTACTGCCTTGATTCCCGCAACGTATTAGTCCAAGGTGAAAAAAATGAGGCTGCATCAGTTGAATGTAGTTTGTTGTATGAATCCAACAGCTTCTCAGGACGAGGCTGCACCGTAAAAGCAGAATGTATGCAAACACAATAGTGTTACCGATGATGTGGGCTTAGCGCATTGTGTGAACCCCGCCAACACGCTGCCCCTTAAGAGACGGGTTTGCTGGATAAGCTTAGGGATTGAAAACCCAACTGTCTCGGCTTGCAGAATACACCGAATTATCAAGGAACGAAACAGACGTGTCGCGAGACACCCCCAACAATCCAGCAAAAGTTGCAGACGAAGCTTCGCCGATTGGGGGAATGAAGTCCTGGGTCTTTCACCAGTCTGGAGAGAGGTTTTGTGCGAACCCAGTCAGGGTTAACCCCCGGCCCAACAAAGGGCATACATTAGTTTTCCAAAGTTTTGAGTCCGCAAATCAAGTCCGTCGCAACAGAACGGAACCATTTCTAACGTCGTGGCCGTTCAGGCGTGGGATATACTTTGGATCGGAAGCCGAAAAGGTGCTTAGAGGCAGGGCCCCGTGCAGCCTCAGCAAAGACACAGGTTTTCTAAGAAAGGTACCAACACCGTGCCCACTCCTGCATCTAAGCACCATTTCAGGTGCAGATGCGAATCCCTGCACCATCTCCTCCGCCTAAGGAAATATGGACCGTAAATCAACGGCCGACTTCGTTGTGACGTCTTTGCTTCCGAGCAATGTTTTAACGACAGCAGTGAGCAGCTGAGATTTGCTGCCGCAGGAGACGTACGCCCCCCGTTTGCCCCCTAAGCCTACCGATGCAATGAGAAAGTTCCCATTTTATAAGGTATAACCTGCAACGGTTATCTGAGGAGCCTCTCGCCCCCGTTATATCCGGCCGCCCCACTGGGTCCGGCAGAAGGGGCATCTTGCGGACCCCGCCGGTCAAGGAATTCCGGCTGGCGGGGCCCAGGAAGAGGGCCTTTTCAGCCGTGGCCCCCGCCCCGTGGAGCCCCACTCTCCCGGCCTTCCAAAAAGGTGTAAAAACATGGCTATGCCGGCCTGATGGGGGCTCGCACTGCTGGAACTGGCTGGCAGGATGATGGATACTGCTCCCCCGTCATCTGGAATTGTGTACTGGCTTTTATAGAATTGTTACTTGTGATTTTCATTGGGGGATATTTATATTTTTATTGTTTTTGTTGTCTTGGTTTTTAATTGTAAGCCACCCAGAGTCACCCTCTGGGGGAGATGGGTGGCATGTAAATTTAATTAATAAATAAAATAAACAGTTTCTGGTTCTCACGGTCTGCCTGTGGGTGTTGATTGCTTCCTCCTTCAGTGCCCCCCTGCCCCAGAATTTGGCAAATTCTTACCAGATACGCGATGGTCGCCAGTTCGTAGATGATGGACTGAGCGCCTAATTCCACCGTACTGATTAATCCTTGGGGTGGAGGAGAGAAACACGGTTGAGACTCAGAAGCGTTCCCAGATGCAGCTGGTGAAAACATTTTGGCCAACAACGGCTTCACCCACAAGAACCAGACAATCTGAGTGAGGGCATGCTGTCGGTGCACGTGCAAAGATGCACCTTCAGGAGGGTCACCTATGTGGCCCTTGGAGACTTGCAAAGACTCATGTCGACACACAACAGGCACCCTCCTCTGAGAACAGGTAACTCTCTTGCAGCAGGAGTGATTGAATTAATCCCATCCAGAGCTCAGACAGAAGAATGACCTGCCCCAAGCAGGGGCTAACTGAAGAGAGGCCCAGGACAGGGACTCACACAGAGAAACATAACAGAGATCCAACAAGGTGCTGAATTAGGACTGGGGGACAACCAGCTTAGAGTCCACTCCTGGTCACAAACAGTCATGCGGTGACACGGGCCAGTTATTCTCTTTCGGCCCAGCGTACCTCACAGGATTGTCATAGGGGAAAATGGGAGGAGGGTGTTTGGTGTGTCCTGACATGAGTTCCTGGAGGAAAGGTGGGATACAACTCTAATAAACCAACAAGCAGTTGGAGGAGCAAAGGCTCTGTATGCCCCTCAAACTCCAGAAGGAAAGGGGAGGGGTTAGAAATCTAATTAATCGATAGAATAGCTACACCTAACCATAGCAGCAACTCGTACAGAGAGACAACAAAGTCGCTCGTCAGCAGGTGTGCCTGCTGGGCAGGAGGAAAAACGCAGAACTCTCAGACATCTCACCTGCCAGGAAGCTCCCGATCTCGAAGGTCCACCACTCTATGCAGATCATAAACATGCTGGGCAGGGCCAGGTGGATGAAGGGCCCCCATTCTTGCAGGCAGTCCCACGTCCAGCCTGTAAAACGAGAGGGGTGCCACGTCAGGGCGAGGGGCCACGCACCCTCCCCAAGGCAGGAGGGTGCCGGTAAGGGAGGGGGCGAGAGAAACTTCTGCAGGTGGGCCAAGCCCCAAGGACGCTTATTCCACTGCTAAAATCCCCACTTGGCTTCTCCCCACTCCAGCCCAAATCCTCATCTTTGGTTTCAGATTTCCAGGTCTTTCAAACTCTCTGCACCAGATTTGGAATTTTATTTCCATCTTTTAGGGCGGGAGGGGTCGTCTCCAAACTTGGCAGCTCCATCGCCCCCTCAAATGAGACAGGGAGTTGGGTGGCCTCCCCCCGCTGTAAAACGAATAATGAAGTCATTGGGGCTAGGGCTGGCCGAGAAACAAATGCTAGACCGCTGCATTTGAATCATCTTAGTTGTAAACGTGGAGTTTGGAGCGAGTTCTGATCATGCGCACACTTTCCCTGGACAAACCTCATCAGATTTCTGACAATTTGGGGACAACCCCCAACCCCCCCCCCTTGTAAGTTGTACCCAACCTACAATTTGAGAAATCCTGTTCTCCGCTATTGGAGAACACATTCAGTTTTTGAATGTTGAATTTGTATTGGCAAATTGGAGGGGTTTGCTCTCCACCCCTTCATGCCAACCCCAGATAAAAATGTTGAAAAGCTCCAGTCCTGGGACCGAGCCCGTGGCACTCCATTTTCTGCCCCTTCCGGTCTGACCAGGCACCACCGATGAGCGCAATTTCGGTACAATTTTATAGGGTGAGCCCAGAGGACGCAGCAAATTAAAGGGGCTGCTGGGCGTGTGCCCAGAAATGCATCTTGCCCAGAGAATTTGAAGCTGCCCAGATGTTAATGAAGAGCTAAACAGCTGTAAGCCAGGGGGGTGCGCGGGGGGAGTAAAACGAAAAACAAAAAACAGCCACATCTTCATGATTGATACCCTGTCCTTGGAGTTAAAAAAAAGCCAAGATGTGTTGCACATAAAAAAGGAACAGAACATCGATCGTGTGGGTACGGCTGGCAACTTGCCTTTTCTGACACACACACACACACACACACACACACACACACCATGGATTCTATTTCATAGCCCCCCTTCTGGACACCTATGGCTTGGTCAAATTTTGGGGGGGTGTCCTGTGATTGGGTCAAAGGATCCTACTTCGGACACACGATGCAAAGATCTAGCTCTCTGGAGAAGGCTCTAATGTGGGGACGGGTGGAAGGAAGAGGATGACCAGCACCAAAGCGGGGGGGGGGGGCCCCAATTGGCGGGCGGGGGGGGGGCTGCGTGGGGAGAACGGGTGGG